ATTCAAAATTTAGCAAAAGCCAAGCTCGAGCCTGGCCCATGAAGAGGTCTACTTACATGCACATTATACATCACCGGAACGTGGGTCTTAATTTATAAAGGAAAATTGTCATTAATCAAAAGCACATCTAACAAATGACCTTGGTCACTTCCTTCTTTCAAATCTGTATTTTCTTCATTCTTCTTTTTATTTTATTTCCTTTTGTGTTCTGTACAAAAAAGTGCAACAAATTGGATAATGGTTACTAGTTAGAGGCTTCAGTTTGTGGTTGTATTTATGTCATCTGGCCTAAGAAGACGCTCATCATTCTGGATGCCATTTATATGGAATGACACAAATTTGACCTGCAATTGCATGAATTTGATCTCATATTTGGAGGGATGCCAAAATGACCATCAGCTAGTAGTTGATTGATACATCGGTTGGACTTAGATTGGAGATAAAACCCCATCTACACACTAGGACAATTTTTTGGGGATATATGGAGCACATGCTTGTCAGTTTTCATAGATAAATTAAATTCTGTTTGGACAATTTTGTTCTATCTTGTGTCATGAAACTAAAAACGGATGTGTTTTCAAGGCTTTGGCTACTCAACCCTAATAGAAAATTTTAAATAACATATAAAAATGTTAAAAATGATGGATTTGATACATTTTGTCATCTCCAATCAAATATCCAGCATCCTACCTGAAGAATATATTTAAAAATGTTTATTATTCGTTAAGACAAATCACAAATCCAGCTCAACATGGCCTGTACCAAAATCTTTTTTAAGTATAGTTGAGTTTGAGATTCTCTAAGGTTATGTTTGGTTTGAAGCAAAAGGTAGGGAAACTTATACAAGTTTTGTAAAGGTTTCCTTATCTTTTACTTCCTTTCCCTACTTTTTTCTTCAAACCAAATACAACCTAAGAGCAATAGACATTGTAGAGGGCAAAAAAAGGATAGACTCACTCGGAGAATGAACTGGTCAGGAGTTCGTTCTTAGGTCAAACGGGCCAACCATTCGAACCGAATGGTCGGCCTGTTCTGACAAAAAATTAAAAAAAAATGGTCAAAACTGTTGAACGGTTCAAATGGTTCAATCACCCTGGGTCAGTGGTTTGTTAACTAAATCAACGTTTTTTTTGGCCAAAATATGGTTTTGGCAAACTGATCACTTGGCCGGTTCCTGGTTTTCTGGTCTAACCATCCGGTTTGGTCTAATTTTGAAAACCATGGACAAACTGCTGGTACTTTACTATGGAAGTATTTTTATCAAGACTATATATTAATGGAACTTCATCCTCGAATATTTAGGTGCAGAGCAAGATTAAGTGGGTTGCATACGTGTTAGAACACGGTTGGGTGACCAGCCTTCGTTGTAAAATGTTGTCTCCAGCTCGTATCAAAACCTCTATAGATTCATCATCATTGGGAGACAGAACAGTAAAGGCCCCCTTTGGTTCGCAAGAGTAGGGGTTTGGAATTGGAATGGGAATGGACTATTCCAATTCCAACTGTTTGGTTGGGTGGAATCAAAATCTCATTTCCATTCTTGTTGGAATGATATTCCTCGGTTCATTTGAGGGAATGGTCAATCTCTGCCTCTCCCTTGAAAATGAAATTCCATTCCTTTTGATTCCAATTCCCATTCCTATTCTTGTCTGAAAACAGGCCACTCCGACAAGAATAGTATGAATCCACCAAGAGGTGAAGTCTATTTTCCTACAAATAATCAATTACCAATGGAGCATCTCAAAGATGGCAAAGTTCATTTTCAAGAGTAAGATTAATTTAATAAATTAATTAAAGAAGAGCACGTGCTTCACTTTCAACAGCTGAAAGAGTAAAAAACTGAATAGATCGTGCCATGATGAAGATCCATAATGATCTCTAACTCTAAGGTGGCGTTCTTTTTTTGGGTTTTGAGAGGGAGAAAGTTTGTCAATGGGATTTTGATTCTTATTTACCAAGAATCCCATGTTCTTTTTTCAGATTTTTGTGGGGATTAGGGAAAGTTTATTTTCCTAGGTATAACTGATACCCATCTCTTAGGTGGGTAAATAACTTTTCCACCTTGGGGAAAAGTTGCTAATACTTGAATGGAGCAAAAATGCCTCTTGTAATAATGGATTTTTATGACTAAAATGGTCATTGCCTTATTTACGTGAGAAATAAAAGAACATGAGTAAATGCACTTATCCAGGTAAGTGTTTCCCAGGAAAGACTTATCCAGATAAATGCATTTACCAAAAAGCAAACAGGGCTTAAGAACTATACCTGCTCCTGCTTGAGAAGTAGTGCAAGCACCATCAAAATTCACTTTGATCTAGTTGTAAGGTGGGAATGGAGTTGAGGGATTATAACAACAGAATCATCCGGATTCAAAACAATCAAAGAAAATAAATTTTGAATAGAAGATTGAATTGAAGCAACCACTTGATGAGGATCAAACTTAATTCCTTCTAATCACCTAGCCTTCCAAATACACTGATTGTGCATTTTGCAAAAGTAGAGACAAAATGCTGAGCAAGAGGATTATCTAAAATGGACCCAATTAGTACACCGATCCCTAAGGTCCCAAGAAGGAGAGGCATCAATATTCAGTGCAAATGTGCAATAGCAGCATGCGGAATATGCCTAATAACTGGACTAGAGAATAGAAGATGTTGTAGTGAATTAGTGATTCTTCACTATGACAAAAAATTCTACATTGAGAGTGACATTCCAAACTAGTTCATCACATTGTGAATCTTGATGAGAGGGGACATAAATATTAAGAATTGCACCCGCAATTTCTATTGTAAAATGAGTATTTAATAAATCCTGCTTCCTTGTATTAGACTCTTGATGAATCAGCAAAGCAACCTTTCCCCTCAATTTTACTCTGGCAGATTAAAGCTGTAAGGCTGCGTTTGGAAATGATTTAAATGGAGTGTAAATCCCAGTTCAGGGTAAATTTGCACTATGGTTCATTTTTGCTTGTTTGACAACATTACATTTATGCATTGATAAATGATAGACCAATGCATATTTAGATTGATAATAAGACATAAAAGTACATCAATAAAAAAAGAAGAAAATTTGCATTCAAGTGGGCTTTTGATAAAAAAGAAAGACATGCTTTATTAGAATTTGTATTTGCATCCATTACAGCTAAAAACCTGTTTGGTAAGAAGGTAAAATTGTCAGTACAAAATTAACCCAATTTTACAATTTATATGATCCGTTTTACACTCTACAATTTGCATTCACACTTATTTGCATCGTTTCCAAACACAGACTAAGGGTCTGCCTTCAACCCATGGATATAAAAGAATATCTATACTCCATCCCAAGCCAATATTCCATTGAATTATGTTAAACTAATTTACCTAATTGAATTATGTTAAATTAGGTAAATTAGTTTATACAAGGATTATAATGCTTGGGTAAATTAGTTCATATATAACCCAAAAATAATGCTTGGGTTGGAATCAGTTTGGTTTGCCCAATTGAAAATTTCATAAAGGTCTTTCCACTTGGATTTTGTTTAATAAAGCCCCTGCATCACAAATAGGGTCCTTGCTAGGTTAGATAGGTCAATTTAATTAACATAACTTAATCAGCTATATAATGTAGTTTATATTGACATAAAAACACAGATTAATTATACCAATACGTGGTTAAGTTAATTAAGATAAAAAAAGCCTTGACATTAATAAAGAGTTGCCTTATTTTGTTATAGATATATTATCAAAGATTAATAGTAAATTAATTAATTAACAGCCTTTGATATATAGATTTCATTTTATTAATAACAAATTAATTAATTAACTACCATTGGTTAATCAATTTTCTATTTACCTATTTTTATTAGGTAAAATACTTTTTTTCTGAGGCAATAATATAATGTTTATGTTTCTTCTTAATTCCTTGTGTCATCATATTAGATATAGAATGTTCCCATGCATTGCACGGGCCCTACTAGTATCAATATATAAAACAAGCCTAAATTTACAAAAATAAATATCAAATATAGTATAACATATAAAAAAAATGTCTAAACCTAAATTCCCTCTTAGTTCTAAAGAACTTTAAATGAAAATTTTAAATGGGGTGAGAGAGAGAGAACATTTCAAATCCTATACCACTAGGGCTGCAACTTAGGTTGGATTGGGTTGAAGTTCAAATTAGGGAAAAAGGGTTGAAAAGTGTGAACCCGGCTTAATTTTGGGTTGGGTTATGATTGAGGTTTGGTTAACCTAAACCAACTTAGTTTCATATTATATAAGCATTCATGATTCATGCGTGTATTTAACTACTTCTGTATATATGCATATACGCATGTGGAATGTATGTATATATTTGAGCAACCATGCATCTCTCTATATATATACATACCTATCTATATACACATACATAGATACATACGTACATATATAATTATGTTATATATCTACCTATATACCTATATATGTATTTATACTAACAATTTTGTTTTTAAAGGCAATTTTTTTTCAAATACATTATAATTATGTCATTTTACACGTAATGATGATAAAATTGAATTGGCCTACTATTGTCCAAGAAATAAGAGCATCCAACAAAAGAAAGTTGAGAAATCAGGCCAACCCGAACCCGGCCTGAAAACTTCAAGTTGGATTAGGGTTGACCACTTGACGTCAATCCAACCTAACACAGTTAAATTAAATATTTATAAAATAGTATTTTCTCAGACTCCGATTTTAATAGAACCGGATGGAGTTAAAATCAAATTCAGACCTATTCTCATCCCATTATTATTAATGAGATGCAAGTTTTAACAATCAAATTCGGGATAACTGATTAAAGTCAAATCGGGTATCGGACTTTCGAGTCCGTTGAAGGAATACTTATGCCACAAAATGACAAGATTAATTTGATAATAAAAAACGAAACAAAAGTAAAGGGTTTTAGCCTATTACTCCTGTATTTGCATAAAAACCCTTCTTATTACCTTACGTTTTATCACTGCAGTGATTACTGATTAGGGCCCTCCCGTCATGTGAGGTTATCTTGGAGCTCCGCCAGTCCGCTCCCGATCCTTGCTCCGATCCCCAAACCCGACGGTATCACAAATCCTTTCTTCACATTTCCCTCCAGAAAGTCAGAAACAACCACCGTCGCCAGCCTCGATTCATGGGGTTGTTAAGTGCTCTCTCGTTGATAGCAGTCATCTTCTCAGTTGAACTGTTGAAGTCTCGTACATAATCACCATCGAACAAATTTGAACCCTGGAGCTGGAGGAGAATCATGATTACTGATCGTCTCCGCCATGAAGAATGCTGCCCTTGCTTCTTCATCTCTCTTTACAGATGTCCGAGCAACCGCCAACCGTTACGCTGCCCTACTGCAGCTCTGCTGCCCCCAAGGTCCAAAATCTTACTCCCTTGCACGGAGTGTCCACGCCCACATGATCACTTCAGGTTTCAGGCCACGCGGACACATCCTCAACCGTTTGATCGACATCTACTGCAAGTCCCGCAACATCGCTTACGCTCGCCACCTCTTTGATGCAATTCCCAAACCAGACATTGTTGCCCGGACGACCCTGATTTCTGCTTACTCCGTTGAAGGGTCATTGAAGCTTGCGCGAGAACTATTCGATGGAACGCCGGTAAGTGTTCGTGATACCGTTTCCTACAATGCGATGATTACGGGGTATTCGCATAATGGTGACGGTCACTCCGCCGTTAAGCTCTTCTCTGACATGAGGTGTGACTGCTTGCGACCCGATAATTTCACGTTGACTAGCGTTCTCAGTGCGCTGGTCCTTATTGTCGATGATGAATTGCAGTGCCAACAGTTTCACTGCACCGTGGTAAAGTCAGGATTGGAATCTGTTGTTTCTGTGTTGAATGCGCTTATATCTCTTTATGTGAAGTGTGCAGGATTCTCTTCGTCATTGATGAACTCTGCTAGGAGGTTATTTGACGCAATGCCAGAAAAAGATGAATTGTCGTGGACAACGATGATCACTGGGTATGTGAAGAGAGGTGATCTTGATGCTGCACGCAAGCTTTTTGATGGGATGACAGAGAAGTTGGAAGTTGCTTGGAATGCAATGATTTCAGGTTATGTCCACCACGGTTTCACTTTGGAGGCACTGGAGATGTTTAAGAGGATGCGTTCTGAGGGAATTCAGTTTGACGAGTTCACTTACACAAGTATTCTCAGTGCTTGTGCGAATGCTGGATTGTTTAGGCATGGAAAGCAGGTGCATGCATACATTCTACGCACAGAAGCAAAACCTGCTCCCGATTTTTCATTACCTGTTAATAACGCATTGGTCACTTTGTACTGGAAAAATGGTAAAGTTGATCAGGCGCGTAGAGTTTTTGACAGAATGTTGGAAAGGGATCTTGTATCATGGAATGCAATCTTATCAGGATATGTGAATTCAGGGCGCATTGATGAAGCTAAAATCTTGTTTGAGGAAATGCCAGGGAGGAACCTTTTGACATGGACAGTAATGATTTCAGGGTTTGCACAAAATGGGCTTGGTGAGGAAGGGCTGAGGTTATTCAACCGAATGAGAATAGAAGGAATTGAACCATGTGATTATGCATTCACTGGTGCTATAATTGCCTGTGCGGGCCTTGGAGCACTGGAGCATGGGCGGCAGCTCCATGCACTGCTTGTTCGTTTTGGATATGATTCAAGCCTGTCAGCTGGAAACGCACTGATGACAATGTATGCAAGGTGTGGGGCTGTTGAGGCAGCCCATCATGTTTTCCTTACAATGCCTTATATGGACTCCGTTTCTTGGAATGCCATGATTGCCGCACTTGGACAGCATGGACATGGTGCTCAAGCGCTTGAGCTCTTTGACCGCATGTTGAAGGAGGGCATATTACCTGATCGGATCACCTTCCTCACAGTTCTATCTGCTTGTAGCCATGCAGGTCTGGTGAAGCAAGGATGTGCTTATTTTGAGTCAATGGATCGCATATATGGTATTAGTCCAGGTGAAGATCATTATGCACGCTTGATTGATCTACTATGTCGAGCAGGGAAATTTTCAGAAGCAAAAAATGTAATTGAAACAATGCCATTTCAACCAGGTGCCCCTGTTTGGGAGGCACTTCTTGCTGGTTGTCGGATTCATGGTAATATGGACCTAGGGATCCAAGCTGCAGAACGACTTTTTGAGCTGATGCCAAAGCATGATGGGACTTATATCTTGTTGTCAAACATGTATGCCAACATGGGCCAGTGGGGCAATGCGGCTGAGGTCCGGAAACTAATGAGGGATCGAGGGGTGAAGAAAGAGCCTGGTTGTAGCTGGATTGAAGTTGGAAGCAAGGTCCATGTATTCTTGGTAGATGACACAATGCACCCTGAGGTGCAGGAGGTGTACAGATATCTTGAGAAACTAGGACTGGAGATGAGGAAGTTAGGATATATCCCAGATACTAAGTATGTATTGCATGATGTCGAGTCTGAGCACAAGGAATATGCCTTGTCTACCCATAGTGAGAAGCTAGCAGTTGCGTTTGGGCTCTTGAAGCTTCCCCGTGGAGCCACAGTTAGGGTTCTCAAGAACCTTAGGATCTGTGGGGATTGCCACACTGCATTCAAGTTCATGTCTAAGGTAGTGGAGAGAGAGATTGTTGTGAGAGATGGGAAGAGGTTTCACCATTTTCGGGATGGTGAATGTTCTTGTGGCAACTATTGGTGAATAGGATGATAGTTTGAAATAGACATCATGTAAATCATTGACCCCTTGTTTGATGTTAAATGACTTTGGCCACTCACATCAAGAAGGCAACTTGGAACCAATGATTAATTACCAAGGAGTTGCAAAACATTTGTTACCAAGGATAAGGAATAAGGATATATCTGAACATGTTGGTTTCATATACAGGAAGAACCATGAGAAGGACTTTCTTGAACTTTTCACTATGTTTTGGTGATTCGATGCACTAACCATGTAAATCAAGGACCAATTATTGTGGAAGGGTATCAGTTCAGTCTTTTATTGACTCATGTTTTGGAGAGGGATATGGTGGAAAGTGCAAGTGTGGAGATAGTCTAGGTGAAGGTGGATTTTTTTTGATAAGTAATTGAAGATGGAAATCTCTATTAATGAGGTGAGTTTGATGTTTTATTTGGGGACATTTCAAGGGTGAACCAACTGAAGCTAAACTTCAGTCAACCATTGATTTTCAGGTGCATCTGCAAATTAATTGATGAGATGTCTGGTTCCCGAAGAGATACATAATAATGGCTTATGGTAGTAAGCCATTGGTCCTGGGATTGAAGTTTACAGAAAATGTTTTGACAACCAAAGTGCAAACTTTTGGTGGCGGAAGAACTTGCTAATTCTTGCCAGAATTTGAATAGCATGGCTATTATTTGATAGGCTCATGAGCTGTTACATTGATTCCCTTTTCTGAGGTCTTATATATATTTAGCCGGTGTACTCTAACACATGCATCTTTGGACATATGTGCATCTGACCTATTTTGTTCTGTCTACAATTCATTTTTAGGAAAAAGAACTTCAGCAATGGCATAGTTCATTGGCATAGTCCATTAAGAAGGATATATATGTCACAAACCACTAATTTTGTTTTGGAACACTGCTAATGTCAGTCAATTATTGGAGAACTTATGTGCAACGTGCCTTTTCCAATTTTAGCCTGGCCAAGGTGGTTTAATGAGTAGCACATGTTGGTGCCAGTTTTTTCAACCTTTCATTGACCTGGACCTGGTCACAATATAAATTTACTTTATTGTCTAACTAATGAAGTACCAAGTAGAATATTGCTTATATTTAATTTCAGAATGATGAGAATCAAACAAGTAATTGGATGGCTGGGTTATCCAATGGCTATTAGTTTGATTAATGGTCAATCCAAGAGGCAACACTTTTATTTCATGGATCCAGGACACCTATTGATTTGGTCAGTATGATCTCATCTAGTATGAACTAGGACACCTGGTGACCTGGTCACAATATAATTGACTTTATTGTCTAACTACTGAAGTACCAAGTAGAATATTGCTTATATTTAATTTCAGAATGACGAGATTCAAACAAGAAATTGGATGGCTGGGTTATGCAATGGCTATTAGTTTTATCAATGGTCAATCCAAGAGGCAACCCTTTTACTTCATGGATCTAGGATGCTATTGGTTTGGTCAGTATGAACTGTCTCATCCTGCTATTCTCATGAGTGATATTATGCTTTTTTGCTCATCTTCATCTTTGGTGTCTTTCTTGTTGATGATGATCATACCATACATGTTCAAATTAATGGACATAGAAGTACAGTTTGAAATCTGGAGAATCACTTTATTTTTCTTTTAATGATATTGTTCTGTTAGAACATGAAAATTATCTTTGACATTACTGTTATTGAGAAAGACTTCAAAACACTTTAGTTGGAAACCATCCTGGACATTAGTGTGGTCGAGCAAGACCTTAAAGCTTGTAATTGGAAAATCTTAGTTAGTTAGTTATTTCAGAAAGAAATGGAGAAGATTGAAAAAGTTCTAAAATAGAGATTGTATTCTGAATGGTGGTCTTTGCATCCTCTTTTGTGCACATATGAAACTTTTTCCTTATCAAAACTGCATTATCAATCATGGGTTAATCACCTCATATGAGACCCCTTCAACCAAAAAAAAAAAAAAAAAAAAAAACAGAAGTCCTAAAATCAATTCAGTTCTAGGAAATTCATTTAACATTTTGCATATTTTCTCATTTTGAGAAACTGAGGGGAGATGCATATGATGCATGTAGGTAAGGGCCATCACTCATTGATGCCCCTGATATCTAGGGCTTTGGAAGGGGCATACTGGATGTAGATCCAACCTTTGGCAATTTTTTTTTTTGACACAGTGGCCAATCTCAGACTCATACCCTTGTTCTCATGCATGCCAGCCTGAGATTTTACTATTGCACCACATATAATGCATGTAGGTGACAAATTCAAAATTTAGTTTGCTAGAAATTTTTGGACACAAGACTCCAGCTTGTAGTAATTATGCTTATATTTGTGAACTTTCTTATTTTAAATGGATGCAGAACACAGTTCTCTTAGTGGTAACTGTAATTTGCATCCATTGAAATAAGAAAGTTTACAAAGATAAGTGGAATGTTACAATGTCATATTGACAGAGGCTATTTTTGGGACAATCATTCTTGTTACATCTTCAGGAGCTAGTACAGCTGTATCCAGGGAAGACACTCCCCTGACTGAAAGACACATTGAGCTTAACATTACTTACCTCCTTGGTTGGAGAGGGGATAATACTGTAGCTACAATATTTTTCTACAGACTTTACATACTTGTAATTTGTAAATGTTCTATGAAATGTTTCTCTCCCTCCATATTAATACAAATATACCTGTCAAAAAAAAAAAAATACGATATAGGTGCTCTTGGTGGGACTCTAGTGTGTATGTGTGTGTTGTGAGCGCGCCTGTGTAAGAATATGTGTGAGTGCATGATTGTTACTCTTTACAATCACAGCATGTTGTCATAATGCAATTGGTTGTTTCATCAATGTAGATTGTGGTACTCCAGAGAAAGCTATTACCTTTTAATAAATGAATGATCATGCAAGATCCACCATTTACCAAGGGAAAAGAAGGATATCAACCTAGATATAAGCAACCATCTTCGAGGCAAGCATTAATTTTGCAAAAGTTTTCTTCTGGGGCTAAAACATATCCTAGAAGATCCAGAGGTTACAACAATTTATATTTGGATGATGGTAGCTGAATGATGCATTACCTCTTGGATGCACATAAGGTCCAGTATACTCAGCTTTTCTTTTGGAGATTTTTCTGACACTACTGAAGCTATTATATGAAGAGTCAACCAAGAAAAAAGAAAAAAAAAAAAAGTTGTTTATATGAGGGGGGTATGAATATCCTTGTGTGAGCAGCATGAGGTGATTAATTGATGGTTGTGAAGAACTTTTCAGCTACTGGGGTTTACCTATATAAGGCCATTACATCAAAAGTTAGTAAGTTACAGTTCTAGCATCTACGGGACTGTTTGTTAATGGTACATAGCTGAATTAAATGGTTTGCATTGTCCTTCATTGAATAAGCCATCAAGTAATTTGTGAGCTCATTAATGGCTGAATAGCGTGTTGGGGTTGATTATAAATCTAAATATTTTATTGCATTATTATTTTATCCACTAAAATACAAAGTAATTAGTCAGTTCAGCCACTTTAGCTGTTGTTAAATGACCCCGAAACTGGTTTAGAAAGAAATATGCTATGTGAAAGAAAATCTAAATTGGGAATCCGGATTAGCTGCACTTGATGGCTGTGTTGGGTGGCTGCTTAATCAATAATAATGGCCCACATCAGCCATACACATCAAGGAGAGATTGGATTAGAGTGGTTGTGGGGTATGTACACTTGACGGCTGACGTGGAGCGTTATTATTGGTTAAATAACTGCTAATACAAACTTTAAATGAAGTTAATCTAGATCCCAATTTAGAGCCTAGTTACATGATAGCCCAATTTTAAGGTGGACCTCCTTTTTGGATCCAAATGTGGCAGAAAGAATTTGTGGGTTAAATTATGGATCTGATTCACTCCATCTCATGCCATGGACCGAGAATTACAGTAAGTAGAAAGCTCGGGGACGGGTTGGACCAAATTTGGAACATTAGTAACATTAATGATATGTATTCAATCAACCCTTCCTAGCTCATAACTGGGACCAACACTGGATAACAGCCTTTTTTATTTATCGATCTGAGGTGGCCCAGCCTAACTTGGTTATGAAAATCAGGTTATTTGGTGGATTAAGGTTACATGTTCTGATTTCCAGTTCAGGATTGAGGTATGCTTGGTTGGATTGGGCTTGGTCCCCGACTGAACGTGGCCCGAGTTGCATCCTGTCCATATCATCTATGACATGAATGGGCCTGGGTTCTGATGCTTGGTGTAGATTTTGATTCTTTATGACAGATGTGAACCATTACTTGGACTGTAAACGGATCCATGATTCAGAATCAATCCATTGAATCGCCTACGTATGTGCATTGTATTGTTTCTAGAGGTGTAAGCTGTGCCGTGCTGGCCCGCAGGCCATCACAGGCCGTGCCGCCCTCCCCAATGAAAAGTTTGGGGGTCAGCCCGGCCCGGCTTGGCCCATGGCCCAAGCCCGTGCGGGCCCGTTCCGTGCCGTGGGTTGGGTTGGCCTTTGGGCCAAGTCTAGGCCCAATCCGGACCATGGACCGGACTAAAGTTATTTTTGCCTATTTATTTAAAAAAAATTGAAAACAAATGTTTATTTTATTAATATATTATATATTATTATATAATTATAATTTATATAATATATTATTATATATATATATATATAAATATATATAAATAGTATATATGAGCCGTGCTTGGCCATGCCAGGCCAGGCCGTGGGCTGGGCCTTGCCGGCACATGGGCTGCGGGCGGCACAGCCCGCTTGGTCGTGCCGTACCGGCCCGGCCCATGGACCTAAAACCCTAAGTCCAGCATGGCACGAACCATCGTTCCAGGTCTGGCACGGCCCATGTGCCGGGCCATGCTGGTCCGGTCCAAAGTCCACAGCCCGGCCAGATTTACACCTCTAATTGTTTCGTAGTTACATTATATTCCAGTGGTTCAATGGTAACTTCTGAAGGAGAATGTCATCTTCTGATTGAAAAAAAAAACAGAATGTCATCTTCCGATGGACATGAGTAAGGTAACTAAAGTCTTACATCTGATGTCTAGTTTTGTTCTTTCGTATTTGTGGCAACAGCATTGTGATCGTGCCAACTTCCGATGCAATCACAGAGAGAGTTTCAGAAAGAAGGGTTTTGACACCTTACTTGGCAATTGGCATTGTGATTACCTTTAAAAATACTTTGTTTGGCTGCTTTCTAGTTCCTATCCAATGTGGTAGCAGAACAAAGGCTGAAATGCAAGGAGCTATGTACTCTTTGTATTGTGCAAGGTAGATTGAAGGTTGAAGGGTTCATAATATAACATCATGTTTTTAGCTTCATTTTCTGGCCATCTGAAAGATTAGCTAGCTACTGCAGTGCAACCTTGGATTCTTTCTCGGGTATGAGGCTATGAGCTGTATTGATTTTTCTTCATTACTCTTGTTTTCTATGTTCATTATTGACTGCATCAGAAATCAGCAATGGTAAAAAATGATAAGGTTGCTGGATTGCGCGTTTTGGGTTTTGTTTTTCTAGTTTGGTTTCTTCATTTCTGTACTTAGACTTGATGATGGTAGATTTTGGGTGGGTTGAGTATTGAATAGTTATCTCTTTGTGAACACCAGGGCCCATCAAATGGCCATATTCTAAGGCACTTATTCTGCATGTAATGAAATGCTTTTTCTCCGATTTTTATTTATATAAATGTAATGATAGGGTGTTGCTGCCTTACTGCACTCTTTTTTGTATAATTGCATGATAAATGCATGGGTTTTAGCTATAGTTCTTTGCTTGGGCTTCAATGGGCGACTAAATCTGTTCTTTACTCAAAGTAATGAGGTATTTTTTTTTTTTATGCAGCTGTTTGATTTTCTCTGCTATGAATATCCAAGTAGATTTTTGACATTGGTATCTATTCTTGAAAATGTCCATTGCTGGATTGACTTGTAGCTTCTCCAAGTTTTCTTTCC